GCCAATTCCAAGATAGCCCCTAGCCAATTGTCCACTCTTGGGGGAGGAGTGAGTCCCCCACACTCACAGCCAGCCAGTGCAGTTCTCCAGTCTGCTGCTCCCCTCTGCAATCATATCTCCCTGTAGAAGCATTTGGGTTGGCCAGCCATCATATTCACTATGACTGTGTATCCCTTGGTTTCAACAGCTTTTCTAACATGGTGTTTCTGGCTCCAGGTGAGTGTGCTGCCACCTATGGTCTTCTCTTTAATAAGTTTTTCTTTTTTTTATTCTCTCGATGGGCTTCAATTTTAAGTAGCATCTTTCTGGGTCAAGGGGACCCAATTCCTTCCTTCTTGCTTCCCCAATGATGCTATATTCCAAAATGTGGACTTTTTCTTTCAGAGAGGCTGTTTACACTGCTGCTTACTGTTCCTCCACCTCTGGGCTGAAAATTCTATAAAATTTGAAGCAAAGCACTTTAATACCTTCTAAATTTATGGCATAACTAATTGTCTATCAATTTTGATTAAGTTGCTGAAGATACATATTTTCACTTATACGATCTTGATGACACTAGTAATTGTTCTTCTGGGCTTATGTGAATCTAAATGCAGCTGAAAATTGTGTCTCTGCCACATTTTGAAATTAAGGTTGAATTGTAATGAAAAGAAATCTTCCACACTGTGAATTAGATTTTTCACTCTTTAGTTGTTCTTGTATTTTCCTGTGGCTTTAGTTTGGCTGCCATCTGAAGAATCAATTGCTAAAGGACAGCAAATACACTCCTAGAATACAATTTACCTTTCCTTAACTTAAAACCACTTTGGGTCTTTGGTATTTACTTGTACCTCAACCCAAACTGGTATGAGCTCTTAGGAAAACAGAGAAGGACTGCTGATAAGTCAGTAAGAAAGTTTTCACAGACAAATAATTTTTGTCCTTAGTTCTAAAGGAATATAAAGAAGACATCTTTCATATCTATGACAGAGCCATTTGCATGAAGGTAGGATTAAGGTGAATAACTTGTAACATTGCATTAATGAGGTGGACGTCCTGTATCAGTCTTCTTAGGTTTGGACCTTTTGTTACCACAATAATACGATTGTTATAAAAACTGATTTTTTTCTCTAAGAGGGCTCAGTATTATAGGTCCTTAGATAACATTTCGTAGTCCATCTGAAGCTCTTGATGATGAGTATAACTAGTAGAAAAGACCTTTCAATGAATCCAGATAGGAATGACAGTTCTGTTCCCTTCGTCTTTCCATATAGTAGGGTCCATTTGTAATCCTAGCAAGGGAAACATTAGATAACCTCTGTCATAGTAAGAACAAGAGTTATCCAGGGATTGCACAAGAATTGCCTCTACAAAAGTGCATTGGTGGGTTTCAGGAATTTTAAAAAATGTGTCGCTGAAATTTACCTCAACTCAGGAACAGGCCATAGGTTTAAAGAAGTGTCCTAAGGGTGACTTGAGTCTCGTATTAAAGTGTTAAGTGTTTAGAGTGAGTGTCTTTGGAGTAAATGAGGAGACAAGCTACTGACAGTAACAAATTCAGAAGTTAATAGATAACCCCCAGACACACAAATAAAGATTTTCTGGACCTGCAGTTGATAAATAGAAGTTAACGTATCCATAATATAATATGTCCCCTATCCCCTGAACTGAGAGTTCTTCACCCTAAAAGCTCTACCATTGGAACTAGTCAGCAGGCTGAGGCATAGATTCTAAAATTGTGCCCATAAAGGTGGCCATGTGTGAGAATATATTTTCATGTGTATCTGGAAAACCTGCTTAAACCGTTGCTGATAAGAAAAACATTCCCAGCAGGGTTTGTCACTAGAAGGGTTAAAGAGGAATTAAATGGTCAAGTGTAGAAGAGTTATGAAGCCTTCTCTGATGAAAAGGCTAAAATTAACTTGGAGTGTTGGAATACAGGCCATGTAGTACCAATAGTCTGATAAGAGAGGGAAGAGTAATGCTGCATGAATCAGAGCATTCAAATTTTCCTTCTAACTCAGGTAGGAATCCAAGAGACACAGAAACTAGTTCATCTTGCCATACTATTGTTGGTTCTCCTGCCTTTCTCTGGATACTTTGCTCTTTCTATATTGAAGAAATGAGGAAATGAGGCAAAAGCACTACCCTTGTCTCAAAACCAATGCATCTCATAGAAAATCAGAAAAATTTAGGATTAAAGTAATGAGTTGTCAAAGTTTATTTATTGTATGGCAAATGCAGGACAAATGCTGTCTTAGCAAAGACTGGGCTGTCAAACAAGGGATCTTTGCCTCACTGTCAAATGTGTTCCTGATACATTCATTTGGGTAATCTAATTTATAAAAATAATTTTGCTGGTTGGTGCACTCTAGGCCAGTCAGCTTCTTAGCCTTTGTTTCTGTAGACCATAAAAGATCAGTTGGATCTCAAATACACTGTCATTGCACATGATTGTTTTACAAGACACAGATAGTGGAAGCAAATGGGACACAATAAACATGGGAAGTGCATGTAAAGTCCCATTCCTCACCATGCAGTCAATGCAAGGATTGATTTGAGACTCATGATATATATGTGAGGTTTCAGTGTGGGTGATACAGCTGCACTATGTGCCCTGATTTTTCTCCCAACAACAAACCAGCTACCGGGTATCATATCTACCATGTCTTCTCAATAACATATTTGCTTGCAGGTTGATTGGTTTGAATGGGCCTCTTCAATGAATTCATTCCCTGTTGATTTCAGTATTAGAATGTGGTTTTATGAGGTGTGGAATTTTTGGAGTCATATCACAAAGGACAGGACCTGGAAAAGTGTATTCTTCTTTACAGGTCCTACCAACTTTCCCTCAATCAACTCTACCATGACTTAAACATCTTGCCTTCACTTTTCTATTTTGCCAACTACTTTGGTCCTTGCATCCAGTGGGCAAGGTTTTGAACTTGTAGGGCTATATATATTCTTCTGAGAGTATTTCGTACTTTGTCTCAGTAAAAGAAGAGGAACTATGGCACCTAGTTATAGTATGCTAAATTTATTTAAAAATTTAGATATAGGATCCTACTGAAAACTGTGAATAGTATTCTGTCTCCCATCCAGCAATGTAGCCCAGAGATTAAAAAAAAAAGAAAGAAAGAAAGACAGACAGAAAGATCTGCATTTCCCAGAGATGTGGGATTACCACTGGTTGACACTGGAAAATAGACCATGAATCATACTGTCCTAGACTTTTATCAGTACTGATTGGGGAGTTAATCATGGGTTATAGCAGAGAGCATGGATGGAAACCTTCACAGGCATGGCTTGTATTAGACAAACAAAGCAGTCTTGCACCAGGCAAAGAGGCTTCCCAATTAGTGGTGCAAGAGATAATTTGATGTGGGAAAAGCTGGCACATTTACTGCCACAAAGCTATAATTCTTTTTGAGTCTCATACCATCAGCTGAGATGTTATCTTATGTTTTCACCCTAGAATCTAGCATCAGTTTGGACAAAAAGATTTCACTAGAAAAAAAAAGGATGAAAATAATGTCTAAAGCACAAATTTCATAAGGGATTGAATGGTAAACACAAACTGAATCTCCTCAGGTAGGGCATCTGCATATGCTTTATATATGCATGGAAAGGTAGAAAAAACCCAAGTTGTCTCACATAATTGGCATGGTGCATGAATAGTTTGTAGGTATTATTTCAAAAAATGATAATTCTACCTGGGTGTGTTGCCACATGGGTGCAATGCTAGGTCTCAGGAAGCTGATGTGGGAGGATCAATTTCACCCTGGGATACATAATCAGTTCAAGGCCATTCTTACCTACAAGGGAATAACCTGTCTTAAAAACAAAAACCTGACATACTGAATGAGGTAAGACAAAGTGTAGAAGCAATATTACAGCAGGTGAAAAGTGCCAAGTGTAGGTGTGCAGACATGGCCGTAATTAAGTAGAGAATGTTGTTCTGTCTATGGAAGAGCACAGGAGACTACATACAACATGCAAAAGCAGTGGATGGTGGTGGCAGGCAAAATCAGCTCCTGAACAAGGAATTTCCCTCTGAAAACCACCTGGTAATGAAACTGAACTATGAGTTCTATGCTACTGAACTTGGAAAGTGATACAGACATATAGGCTGAAAGATAGGTAGAAATTTAAATCATGATATAGGCAATTCTCTTGTTATTACTGAATTCACCTAATCAATTTTAAGTTAACAGTAATTTTTGTTGTTTTTTAGCTTAAAATTTCTTGGGCAACATTATCTCTGTGTAATGGAGATGGTTTTCCACAAAAATAGGAAAAATTAAAAAGTATTTTTTGTTTCAGTAGGAATTTAGCTCAGGACCTTCTTCTTGGGAAAAATCTTACCTTTTACATTTTGACTTGTCATTATTTGGAATTTTTACACTTATTCTCAGTACATAGGTGAGGCTGAGCTTGAAGGCGTTATACTCCTGTCACAGCCTCACAGAATGACATGATCACAGTTGTGTATAAAAATATACCACTATAATAGTGCTCAGTTAAATTCAGCATAATATATTATACTTTTTGTGTCCAAAGTTTGTAATTTTTGCTACTGGGAATATGCAGTGTCCATTTTGAAAAATATTCTTGGTGGCTTCTTTCTCTTGATAAGCATCTGAATTAGAGATTAGTTGTGTGTTTTATAGCTGTCATTAGAGTACAGAATCTAACACTATGATGACTCTTCAAGCTGCAGTTATGTATACTCCTTTTAGTCATAAGCCACCACGAAGCAGCTTTTTTTGTTACTCAGTTTCATTTCTTTTCAGTCTTTTCAAAGTCTCACCATGTATATCACACTGACCTTGATCTCACTCTGTAGCTCACAATGGTCTTGAAGTCTTGATGATCTGCTTGCCTCAGCATCCCGAGTGCTGAGATTACAGACATGTACCACCACACTTTGCTCTCAGTTACACTTTTTTATAGGAAGGGTTCATAGAGTCCAGGCTGTTATTCACAATTTTCCTTCAATAAATATACATATGATCCTCTAGGAGTCAGTGACCTTTGAGGATGTGACTGTGAAATTCACCAGTGAGGAGTGGACTTTGCTGAGTGCATCCCAAAAGAAGCTCTATAGAGATGTGATGGAGGAAACCTTTCAGAACATTGTGACTATGGGTAAGAATGAAATCATTTTCTTATTGATACACTCAGATTAAATTGCTTTTTGCTCTTCAGTGCAGTTTCATTATATAGAATGTGAAAAATTAATCTGGCTTGCTTACATTATATCATGAATCTACTTGGAATGTGTTAATTTTTATGTAATAATGTAGTGACCACTTACACTTCTGTGTCTATAATTCAGGAAGACTCTTGGAATACCAAAAGGTGGAAGAAGATTGCAATAACTACTTCAAAATTCTAAGGTAATTTCACATTCAAGAAAAAAGTGTACTCCTTAAGACACCACAAAAGGAGAACCATGCAAATGAAAAACCAACACCATCTCTAAATTAATTTCACAAATACTCTCCAATACTATATTCAACTTGATTATATACAGTCTGAAAACTAAAAGCAAAAGTATTCCAACATAAGAAACTGTTTAAGTACAACTGAAATCATACAAATGACACTATCTGATATGTAATAAAAATGTTCCTTTATCATCAACAACATAAATATGTATGACATTGTCTTTAGGTGTTTTGCATAGCTGTAGATGAGAGGAGATAGATAAAGTAAAGTGATATTATAGAGAAGGGGAAAATAGTGAGAGTGGAACGTGAAGAGTGAATGGATAATGGTATTAAAATTAATCAACATATGTTATACATATATATATGTTAGTCAAAATAAAGCTAAAATTACTCTACTATATAGTATACCAACTGAAAATTTTCCAAAACATACCACTCTTTAGGGAAAATCTTTCTCAAAAGATCCCTCATTTTATTCTTTTAATTTGTTATCAAATTTCTTAGCAGGCATCAAATAAGAATGTGCTCTACTAAATCATACATATTGAGAGACATTTTATTTTGTCTTCTTTATCTTTTACAGAAATGAAGACACTGAGAAATGCCATCAATATAAAGGTTGGAATCAGCATAAAGAATGTTTCCTCTGCACTAAAGATGCTAATGTCCATATGAAACCACAGGGTTTAAAACCAGTTGAAAGTCTTTCTTGTAGAAAGCTTTTGATTCAGCCTTTTTCACTAAATATGCCCTTCAGAGTTCACACTGAATTAAAGCCAGATGAGTATTTTGAAGTTAAAGGGAAGCAGTTTAAATGTAATGAAACTAGAAAAAACTTTTACGATTTGCAATCATTTCAGAATCATGCAAGGACAGAGGCTTACAAGAAACCATGTGAACATGATCAGTGTGAAAAATCCTGCTCTGGTCTTAGGGAAAGAACTTGTCTTAGAGACAATACATTTGTGTGTCCAAAAAATTTGGATGCCTCCAGTAAACCCAATGATGTTCAGATGAATCAGACAATTGACAGTACAGTGAGCACCTCTGCATGTAAGCAATGTGGAAAAGCTTTAAGCACATATACTATTTCTCAACAACATGAAGGAAGTGAGATGGAGGAGAAAAAGTATGTATGTAAGCAATGTGTAAAAGGTTTCAGGAAAAATAGCCATTATCAAAAACAAGAAAGAACTCACACTGTTGAGAAGTACTATGTATGTAAGCAATGTGGGAGAGCTTTCAGTACACAGGGGTTTTGTAAAAGACATGAAAGAACTCACACTGATGAGAAAATTTATGTATGTAAGCAATGTGAGAAAGCTTTCACTACCCAGAGCAATTGTAAAAGACATGAAAGATCTCACACTGGTGAGAAACCTTATGTATGTAAGCAATGTGGGAGAGCATTCAGTACACAGGGGAATTGTAAACTACATGAAAAATCTCATACTGGTGAGCAACCTTATGTATGTAAGCAATGTGGGAAAGGTTTCAGCACACAGAGCAATTGTAATACACATGAAAGAACTCACACTGGTGAGAAGCCTTGTGTATGTAAGCAATGTGGGAAAGCTTTCAGCACACAGAGTTGTTGTAAAATACATGAAAGATCTCACACAGGTGAGAAACCATATGTATGTAAGCAATGTGGGAAAGCTTTCAGTACACAGTGGCATTGTAAAAGACATGAAAGTACTCACACTGGTGAGAAAACTTACTTATGTAATCAATGTGGAAAACATTTCAGCACACAGAGTTACTGTAAACTTCATGAAAGAATTCACACTGGAGAGAAACCTTATGTATGCAAGCATTGTGGGAAAGGCTTCAGTACACAAGAATGTTGTAAAACACATGAAAGGACTCACACTGGAGAGAAACCTTATGTATGTAAGGAATGTGGGAAAGCTTTCAGTACACAGAGGAATTGTAAAAGACATGAAAGATCTCATACTGGTGAGAAACTGTATGTGTGTAAGCAATGTGGGAAAGCTTTCAGTACACAGAGGAATCATAAAAGACATGAAACAACTCACACTGGTGAGAAACCTCATGTATGTAAGCAATGTGGGAAAGCATTCAGTACAAAGAGGAATTGTAAAACACATGAAAGAGCTCACACTGGTGAGAAACCTTATGTATGTAAGCAATGTGGAAAAGCTTTCAGTACACCGAGTTATTGTAAACTACATGAAAGAACTCACACTGGTGAGCAACTTTATGTATGTAAGCAATATGGGAAAGCTTTCAGCACACAAAGCTATTGTAAACTACATGAAAGATTTCACACTGGTGTGAAACCTCATGTATGTAATCAATGTGGGAAAGCTTTTAGTACACAAGGGCATTGTAGAAGACATGAAAGTACTCACACTGGTGAGAAACCTTATGTGTGTAAGCAATGTGGAAAAGCTTTCACTAGACAAGGAAGTTGTAAGCTACATGAAAAATCTCACACTGGTGAGAAACCTTATGTATGTAAGCAATGTGGGAAAGCTTTCAGCACACAGAGCTATTGTAAGCTACATGAAAGATCTCACATTGGTGAGAAACCTTATTTATGTAAGCAATGTGGGAAAGGTTTCAGCACACAGAGCTATTGTAAACTACATGAAAGATCTCACACTTTTGAGAAACCTTATATATGTAAGCAATGTGGAAAAGCTTTCACTACACAGGGGAATTGTAAAAGGCATGAAAGATCTCATACTGGTGGGAAACCTTATGTATATAAGCAATGTGGGAAAGCTTCCAGTACACAGAATTATTGTAAACTACATGAAAGATTTCATGCTGGAGAGAAAACTTATGTATGTAAAAAATATGAAAAAGCATTCATCACATTTGCCATGTCTAAAAGACATGAGAGAAATCAACCTGCACAAAAACCTTAAATATGTAAGGAGTGTGGGAAAGTTTTCAGCATGTAGCCATGAATACTGTGGAATTCATAAAAATTCACACTGGAGATAAAACTTATGTATCTAAGCAGTTTGGTAAACCTTTCAGCACATGTCGGTATTGTCAAAATCATGAAAGAATTCACACTGGAGAGAAACCCTATGTATGAAAGAAATGTGGGGAAGCTTTCAGCAGAAACAGTTATTGTCAAAGACATGAAAAGACAATAGAAAGAAACTGCACATGTGTGCAATTTGGAAAGGTTTGCAGTATACATATTTATTGTCAAATCTGCCAAAGAAGCCATAGTGTAAAAACCCTATGTATGCAAGCAATGTAGAAAGAAATTTTCTAAGTCTTCATTACACAGACATTAAGAAATTCATTGGGGAGGATGCCTATGTCATAAACAATGTGCAAGAAGATTCAGTGCACATGTTAAGTACATGACTATATATATGTTATGTCAAGTCAAAAAGCATCACTGGGAAACAAATATGTAAGCCTATGTTGAAAATCTCATTAGGATGTTTCATTTAGTGAAATTCTGTAGAAATAATATAAACTTTTATGTCAGTGCTTTCTGACAAATATTCCAAAGAAATCAAATCCCAGATGAAGGTATAACAAACTACATACATTCATTTGTAGATTGTTTATGTGCACTATTTTAAAATGTTGAGCTGCCAGAATGAGATATTTTTATTTGAGTGTCTGAGCTTAGTCTGTGAAGTCTTAATTAAGCATGATTGATCAAGATGTATTTTTTACTGTAAAGTACCGTTAGGGTTTGTGCTGTTTTATCTTATCCTTAATTTTGGGAGGAATAGGCCATTAAAAATCTTACTTTTGTAGTTTTTACTAATACAGTTTTGCACTATTTTGCTCTTTAGTTTCTATGTGGGTTTTCTGTATTCTGTGTAACAAAGGATATTTTTAATTTGATGCTATATTTTCTATTGATATCTATTTTGAAAGACTTGTCAACATCGGTTTTGACAAAGTTGAATTGTGTTCTCAGGCCTTGTAGATTAGTAAATTTTGCTTTTCATGTGGCATGACAAGATCCCTGCTTGTATAACAACCTCACTCTATATTGTGTCATGTACATATCTTGCATACTTTTCTTTCAATTCATTCAGTTCCATAAAGTTTTATTTTTTCACAGAAAATTTTTCACGGTTACATTGCTTAATTTACTTCACTGGTGTTTTTAAAAAACAAGTACAAAACCATGCTGCTCAGTGTTTTTCATTGCCATAATCCCACTGTTGTAGAATTCAAGATATCAGACCTAAAGGATTGGGATTTAGATACTGGTTGGGGGCAATCATGGGCATGGTAAATGTCAGAACAATTTATAACAGCCTTGAAAGAAGACAGAACATTATGAATCCTGTAAGAAAAAGATGGCATTAACTCTTCACAATACATAGTTGTCAATCTTGCCTCTAGCAAAACAGCAACAAATAGCTACAGAAGAAGAGGAAAAACTTTGTAGGAGATTCAACTCTGTGTCCCATTTTACCACATGACCATAACTTGTCTTTACAGGAAATCACTATTTACAGCAATCTGTGTGGAATATATAAATTATGCTAAAACACCCATAACAACACTTTGAGTGGAATGTTCATCATCTGTGGAACTTTTCTCAGGAGCCAAGTTGTTACTGAATGTTATGAGATCAATGCCTTTATTGTATTCCCTAATGCTTCGATGCCAAAACATCTTTGGTAATAATTGTTTTTACATAGGAAGCTAAAATACTGGCATGAAGAAAAATGAAACTCCTCACATATATCAATCAACTCATTAAAAAGAGAAATCTCTGACATTGTTATTTACACTCTGTTCTTGACCATTTTTGGATACATTTCTATGATGATATTTTTTATTGATTCCAAGGTCTTTCCTATAGTGATTTTTTTATTTTTAAAGAGGGTAAAATTAAACAGAACAAAACAGATCATGAGATAACAATGTAAGAGACACAGATTCCAAAGCAAGCTAAGTGGAGATCTTCAATGTCTATCATATTGTGTTGTTTTCTTCCAAATAGTTATCCATATCATCACATAGAATGAATTTATCCAAAACAAACTAGTATAGAACTGATCAGAACCCAATGAAGAATGTGTTTTAGATCTTCAAGACCAGAAAATAAAGAAGTCAACAATGGCTGTCATGTTTCTCATTCTTTTCAATATAGCTGTCCATACCTTCATGTATGTTGAAATGAAATGAAACAAAACAGAATAAAACCAGCCTAATCAAAGGATAATAGTATTGCTGCATTTCACATCATGATGCTATCAAATCAGCACTAGGTACCTTAGTGTCCCTTTTTCTTCAAAGTAGCTGTTCATTTCATCATGTATTATATTAGCAATTCTCATAAATTTTTTTAGAAATAAAGTCTCTACATGCATAATTATCTTTTCTGTATCAGAGGGAAAAACAAAACAAACCAAGATACAGCAAAACAAATTCCCAGAAAAACACAAAACATGTAAACAACAATAGAAAAGATCCCAGAACACTGACAAGTATAGGCCTTAAAACAAGGTGGTATGGGCATAACTAGGGTTTTTGTTTTACGTTAATGATCTTCAAGAGTTCCTCAGATCACTATACTATAATATGCACAATTGTCCTAATGCTATGAATGTTAACTATTTTGTTTCAAAAAACTTACAGAGTTTACAGGGCAGTCATCTTAGCTATCTTAAGTATTTACATAATTTTAGACATTTTTCTTTCCCCAATTCTCTTTTTCCTCATTTTCAATTAGATATTATTTTCCCCTTTAAGCAGATTCTTATCCTTTCATTGTCATCATTGAGTTTTTTGTATCTTGTGTACTCTTACCATTTATTACACTAAGGGAGACTATAAGGTATTTAGACATGTGAGCTGGATTTACTTTGCTTCAGAGTATGGTCACTAGTTGCATCCATTTACTTATGAATGTCTCTATGTGATCATTCTTTATAGCAGAGTAGTATTCATTATATAAAAATACCACATCTTTTTTATCCTTTCCTCAGTTGATGAGCATTTAAGTTGTTTCCAAGATGTGGCTATTATAAATTGTGCTGCTATAAACATGGTTGTGCATATACCATTGTGGTATGATGTTGTCAGTTCTTCTGGGAATATTCCCAGAAGTGGGATAGCTGGTTCAAATGGGACTTCCAATCCCATCTTTCTGAGGAACCTCCAGACTGACCACATTAGTTGCATCATATTGTTTATTTGTGTCTGTGCTGTTTTCTTAATGTGGGAGTTTACCACAATAAATTTTCCTCTGAGGACTACTTTCATTGCTTCCCACAGGTTTGAATATGTGTTAGTATTTTGTTTGCCTGCAAACAAATATTGTTTAATTTCTTCTTTAATTTTCTCTGTGACCCACTGATTGCTCAGGAGTGTATTATTCAGTTTCCAGGTTTTTGTGGGATTTTTTGCAGTTTCTTTTGTCATTAGTTTCTAGTTTTATGTTGCTGTGATTCAATAATATGCATGTGATTATTTCATTTCTTTTGCATTTACTTAAGCATTTTGTTGGCTAGTTTATGTTCTACATTAGAAACTTTCCATGTGCCACTTAGAAGAATGTATATTCTGACATTGTTGGGTGAAAAACTATATACCTATACTAAGTCCATTTATTCACAGGTGTGATTCAGTTCTGTTATTTCTTTAGTGATTTTCTGTCTAGTTTGATCTGTCCCTTAATGTCAATGGCATGTTAAACTCTGTTATAAATGTCTTATTGCTTATTTGATTTTTCATTTCTGTTAATATTTGTTTTGTATAGCTGGGTGCTCCCAAATTTGGTGCATATATATTTAAGATTGTCATCTCTTTCTCTTTTTATGCTGTGGCCTTCTTTATCTCTTTGAATCATTCTTGGTTTGAAGTTCACATTGTCTGCAAACAGAATGGCTACTCCTGCTTTTTGGGGGGGATCCTGTTGAATAGAGTATTGGTTCCCATCCTTTGTCTTTCAGCCTATGAGCTTCCTTTTGGATTTGATTGATTTCCTGTATGCAGCATATGGTCGGATGTTGTTTCTTATTCATTCGGCCAGCCTGTTTCTTTTAATTAGTGAATTGGGGCCATTTACATTAATGGTTATAACTGATAATAGATTTGTTTACTTTTTACAGGATATCTTTCTGGTATTGATTTTTTACTTTCCAATCTGTTAGTTGTTTGCCTTGCTTAGTGGTTTTTTTCTTATGTCTGTCTAGAATGTCTTTTAGTATTCTTTGCAGGGTTTTGTTTGGTTGTCATGAAATTCTTCAGCTGCTGTTTGTCATGGAAGTATCTTATTTCTCCATTCATTTTGAAGGACAGTTTTGCAGGGTACATCACTCTAAGTTGGAAGTCATTTTCCTTTAGGATCTGAAATACTTCACTCCATGATCTTCTTGACTACATTGTTTGTGATGAGCATCCACACAGGCTCTCCATTATAGGTGATCTGTCTCTTCTCTCTAGCAGCTTTTAATATTCTGTTCTTATGTTTGATTTCTGGGAAGTTGATTATTATATATATGGGCAAAATTTTATTTTGATTATGGTTATTTGGAGTTTTATATGCTTCATTGATCTGTATGTCAGTTTCCATCAAAATTTTGGGAAATTTTCAACTATTCTGTAAATAGTCCCTTGATATCATTTGTGTTGTCACCTTCCTTTTTGTTTATACCTATCAGGTTTTTTTTTTTTTTTTTTTTTTTTTTTTTTTGCATTATCTTGCTGCTGTTCAATTATTTCTGGTTCCTTGTTTTAAAAAATTTTTTCCTTTCTTTTTTATTACCTCCAGTCATGTCTTCGAAGTTTGAAATTCTTTTTTTTGTTTCCGATCTTTTCATTTTATACACAAATCAAAGAATGAAGCACAGTTATCTCCATAGGGAAAGCAAAATTAATTCAAGTTCATTAAATGAAGCCATTGCCAATGGAATCCAGCACTTAAATCCAGCTGAGGAAGGGTTACAAGATGGCTCAAGCATGCAAAATAAAAGAACCAAGGGACAGAATGAGGGGCATCCCAGAAAGAAAATCACTTTAGAGAAAAAAAAAAAAAAGAGGGGGAGACCACAGCGCTGCCACAGGGACCTGTGCCCTCAGAGCACCTTCCCCAGGGGCTGGTTCTAAGCCTGCTTTTCCTGTCACAAGCCACGAATCCCCAGATGGCTTCAGCTTTTGCTCTCATCCTGTAACTTACTTCAGAGCCCTGTTCTCTTTCCCTCCACCTTCCAATGAATATTTGTCTTTTTGCCAGTTGTTGGTTCTCCCAGAGTAGAACAACCAAAATTAAATAGGAAAATAGCAATGCAGCCTTTTTCATAGAAGCAGACCTTACCAGCACCTGGATAGTAGCTGGTGACTTGACAGGAGACCTGCACACAGTGAGCACCATGGAATTTACTCCTCTGTGCCTCTGTTTCCCTATAGAGCCTGCAGGTGGGGACTACCTGATCTGTCTCCAGTGCAGTGTGCAGCAAGGCACAGGAGGCCTGGAAGGAAGCTCTTCAGTCAGCACAGTGAGCAGATCAGTGAGTGAGCAAAGTGATGGCCACACTAGCCCTGTCACCTTGCATCCTTGGCAGCTATTCAGGCCATTGTGCTGGCTTCTCAAGTTCTGTTTCTGCAGTGTTTTTCATCACTGGTTGCAGTACACAGTGACTGTGTTTCTCTCCTGGTGTGGCTCATGTGCCATTTCCTCCTTTGTGCCATTTCCTCCTCTTGGTCCCCTCACTTTTGCAAAAGCTCTGCCTCCCCACTCTCTTTTACTTTCATTATATCTGCAGTGTGTGAAGTCTGAAATTCTATTTTCACTTTAACTGAGGTGGTTTTGCCAATTTTCAATGTAAATTTTGATTTCCTGTGTATCTCTTTGAATCTGCGTCATATATTCTGTTTGCTTCTTTATTCTTCATTCAGAGTTTCCATCTTTTTGCATTGTTCCTCTAATTTTTTAACTATGTCTTCTTTAGATGTGTTCAGCATTTTTTTCATTACATTTATCATTTCTTCTTTTAACTGGGAGACTATTTCTGATTTTAGTTCTTTTATAGCTTCCAGAGTTGTTTCTTTACTTCAGTTGATATCATTTCAGGCATTTCAGGTGTATGGGTTATATTTTCTTCTGTGTCCATGTCTCCTAGGCTGCTTGGGTTGGACTGGAAGTTTGAGATTGCATTTTGTTCTTTAATTTTGTCATTTTCCTATATTTCTGGGTTTCAAGCAATGTTTCAAGACTTCCTCCATGTGTTGAGAATCATCTGGCCCAATTTTGCCTCACATGGCAGACAGTTGGCAAAAACTAGTAGCTTGGAGTTCACTGGGCTTGGGCTAATTAGGCATGTGGGGATTCCCATGGGACCTCCTGTGATTCCAGACCTGGGGTGTGATCTTACCACTTGTGAGTGAGGTTCCAAGGATTCCCTGTGTGCTGAGTTTCAACCTATGCTCACTCTGGGCCAAGGACTCAATTTGGGACCCTGCCAGCTTCTTGGATTTCACTGCACATTGCTTGTTAGACTCCCTTGTAGCTCCCGAGCATTGTTAGGTGTTTTCACACATGGGGCATGGTCTTACATCTCAGAGCAAAGTTCTAAGGCATCCCTGTGTGCTGGGTTTCAACATGTGCATACTCTGGGTGTAGGATTCAATTTGAGCCCCTGCCAGCTGCTTGGCATTTGCTAGGTGTTGCCCAAATAGGCCCCGTTGGACTTCCCAAGCTTCCTTGGGTGATTCAAATGCAGGGCATGATCTTACCACCTGGAAGTGAAGTTCTAAGTATTTCCTCTGTGCTGGGTTTCAACCCCCACATGCTCCGGGCCCAGGACTCAGTTTGGGCCCCTGCCAACTTCTTGGAGTTCACTAAAAGTGGCCCACTTAGGCCCCCTTGAACCTCCTGAGCAACCTTGGGTGATTTCAGATGTGGAGCATAGTTTTGCCACCTGGGAATGCAGTTCCAAGCCTTCCCTGTGTGCTGGGTTTCAACCTATGCTTGCTCTGGCCCGTGCATGCAGTGGGCCCAGGATTCAATTTGGGCCCCTGGTTGCTACTTGGAGTTCACTAGGCAAGGCCAAGTTAGGACCACTTGGACCTCTCATGTCTCCTTGGATGATTTCAGATGCAAGGCATGGTATTACCAC